TGATGGAGCAGGAGAAAGGTGGGGTGCAGAACTCAAATTCTAGTAAGAAGACCAGACTTAATGGTCTGACTGAGACTGGAGGAACCCCAGAGGGCATGGCCTCCAGATTCTCTATCAGCCCAAAACTAAAATGATTTCTGAGGCCAACTCTTCAGACAGGGATTGGACTGGACTTTGGGACATAAAGTGATGCTCGTGAGGAGTGTGTCTCTTAGCTCAAGCAGATACAAGAGACTAAACGGGCAGCTTCTGTCTGGAGGTGAGATGGGAAGGCAGACAGGGTTAGGAAATGATCAAATGGACATGGGGAATCAGTAGTGGAAAGGAGGAGTGTGCTGTCAACAGCGTCATGGATTGAATTGTGTCCTCCAAAAATGTCGGTCGGCTTGACTGGGTCATGATTCCCAGTATCGTATGATTGTATAATCTGATGTGATTTCCTTATATGTTGTAAACTCTATCACTATGATGAGGTTATACTGATGAGGTCTACAGGACTGGATAGTGTCTTAATCCAATCTCTTTTGGGATATAAAAGAGAGAAGCGAGTGGAGACACATGGGAAACTCATACCACCAAGCAAGCAGTGCCAGGAGCAGAGTGTGTCCTTTAGACCTGAGGTTCCTGTTCAGAGAAGCTCCTAGAGCAAGGGAAGATTGATGACATGGACCTTCCCCCAGAGTTGACAGAGAAAGCTTTCCCTTGAAGCTGATGCCCTAAATTCGGACTTGTAGCCTACTGAACTGTGAGAGAATAAATTTCTCTTTGTTAAAGCCATCCACTTGCAGTATATCTGTTATAGCAGCACTAGATGACTAAGACACACAGTATGGGGAGAGCAATTAGGGTCACATAGCAATGTGTGGATAAATTTTTGTATGGGAGACTAACCTGAAATGTAAACTTTGTTTAAGCTACATCAATTTAAAAAAAAAGAAGTGGAAGCCAGGTCTATCTGCTCCAAAGTCCAACCTGCCTCTATATTTGCAAGGTGCTTTACAGTTTCAAAGCATTTTCACAAAAAGCTTATCAGCGGTCTCCAAAGCGGAGTATACATATCCTAGGGGATATCCAAAATAACCTACTGGGGTGCAAAAATATATTATTTATACTTTTAACCTAAAAATTAAGAAAGAACTTAAGCTTTAATGACATTAATACATGGACTGACATTGGTATTCTCCCTGGTCCTCAGATCAGCTGCCAAGGCATCCTAAGGGAACTGTGGGAATTATACTATCCCCTCGGTTGACAGTGGTTCTTCCACTTAGGTGTCCTGAGTCTTGGTCTTTTCCTTGAGATGCCTCTCTCCATCAGTATTACTACCATACAACAGTTGCTTAAGACAAAGACGTTCCTCCTCTCTTTCTTACTCACAGACCATCAACTCAACAAGTCTTGTCTATTCTAGACTTTATTTAAGTCAACTTTGTCCAGTTCTCTCTACCACTATTGCTACTATGTTAAATTCAGTCTACTATCATTTTTCACCTAGATTGCTAAAACAGCATATGAGCTGCCTGGAAGTTTGCCCCTCTTCAACCCACTCTCCTATGCCATTCTTCCCTCACTCCATACTCCAGTTACAGAAAACAACCTGTGCTCTCTGAAGGAGATATGCCTCTCACTTCCACATCGTGCACTTGCTGCTCCCTTTGCCTGAAACACTCTCTGTTCCTCTTGCATCTGGGTAACTCCTAATCATACTCTAGAATTCAGCTCAGAATAGCCCTCTATACCATCTTCTCTAAGCCCCCAAAATCTGAACTAGGGGTCTCTCCTATGCTCTTCCATGGCACTCGATACATTCCCTGGTAGCATTATCATAGTGTAAAACAACTGTTGTTTACTTGTCTATTTCCCCTCTAGAATATTTCTTGAGTGCAGAAACAGTGCTTTTGTCCTTGCTGTATCCCCAGAGTACATGTGCCTGTAGCACAGAAGGGTCTTAAATACCTGCTTAACATACAAATGAATGTCCATGTGTAGGGTGGAGAAAGAACTCAAGAAATCTTTGCCACTAACTACGTAACCTTAGGGAAAACAACATCTGTGCTACTTGCTTTACAAAACTCTTGTAAGCATCAGAGGAGAGGGGATGAAAAAGCACTTTGAATACAAATATCATAAACTTTAAAGAGAGTTAAGAAGAAAAAAGCATCACATCAAGGGTTACTTGAAGCACAGGAACACTAGAGAAATAAAAGGAAGCAGAAGCACTTGTTCTTCTCTCCAAATAGTTTACAAAGACAGAAAAAGAGACAAACACACACACAGAATACCAACAACTGAGAACCAGTATTTGTTGACTAGATGAATACACAAAAATGGAATATGGGTAGTATTCTACATAAGAGGTTGCAGATCTCCCAAAATATGTTAAGGCCCTAGAATCTCAAGACAACTTGGGAGCACTATGAATTGAATGCTAGGCTAATAATATAATCATAACAACAACAATAAAATGAATATGATCAGCAATCTATGACGTTTAAATATTTACGGAGCACCTTATATGCAGACAGGAGCTTTGAGAGGCAGAAAGGTGTTTCAGAAATGGATCTGCTATGTACAACACGATGATAACGTAAGATAGAAGATAACAAATGGGCCAGGAGGAAGGCCCATTATGTAATGAAACATCAGGAGGAAGATATCTGATTACAGGATCTGAAGGTTACATGGAAGAGGTGACATTTGTCTTGGGTCTTAAATAATGCTGAGGTATGGACCTGTAGCCATATGAATAAAAGGTTGACTAAGGAAACAGCTTGAGCAAAAATACAGAAATAAAAAAATATGCAGGCATGTAAGAAACTATAAGTTGTTCTATTTAGCCAGAGGTATAGGGGATAAAATTAGAAAGGGAAGATAAAATTAGAAGGGTGTATGGCTTTGAAATGATAGGTTTTTAGACTTTATTTTCACTATCATTTAGCGTCAAAACATACACACACACATACATATTCTGGGGGTAGCGTAGATGATTATTTGGGGGATGATGAAGACAGAAATCAGAGGCAGAGAGACCATTAAGGGACTTACAACTACTCTAGAGAAAAACAATGGATTCTAGTCTCACTATTTTACTATTGGATGAATTATTTAATTTATAAAAAAGATTATTAAAAAAATAGGTACTCACTGATTTCTTATTAGGCTGGCTGCTATCATATCCAGTGGTAATGTCCCGTATATGCAATATAGCAAATGCCCCACAAAATTTTGGATATTCTTTTGGAGAATCAAAATTACGAAGTCTTTCAAATATACTTTTGATGGTAGGTGGATCATAACACAAGAAATATGAAGTTTTTGAAATATGATAACCATACCTGTACAAAGATTTAAAGTGTTAAAATCAGATTTCAGAAAACTCTTTAAAAATATACATATATTAAAGATATGCCTATTACAGTATTTTGTAGAAAGTGGCAGCCCTTAATTCAGACAATTTTAATACTTCTTTTTAAAAGATTGACTATTCCTCAAAAACAAATTTAGAAAGCTAATTTAGGACAAGAAAATGAAAAATTTAGCAAGTGAAATTCCTAATAGTAGAACATACTTTTCATAAACCTTAATCAGTTGCTGTCTCAGTGTTATGTTCATGGTTTCAAGGTAAGATGCCATCTCAGCAACAACAACAGCTGCACTGACCCCATCTTTATCCAAAACTGAAGTTCCACACAGAAAACCTAAGAATTAAAAACATCTTTAGAAAAGATACTACCAGAGGAAAACTTAAGCTGACAATTACAATAATTTTACATTTCTTCAAAAGGACAAAATGAATTTAAAAGCCCTGTATTAGACGAAACTCATCTATACTGAAGGTATCTAGATCTAGGGACCTTTAGAGTCTTTTTTTTTTTTCCTGATGAGAAATACATCTACACGTTTCTGAGTTCTTGGTAGTTTTTATAACTCAAAATGCAAAACCAGAAGACAAAAATTCCTCTGTATGGAATTACCACATTTAAAAAAGGTTCTCAATCAAATTTCAAAGATTTTAATATTTACTACATACCAATAGACTCTTCAAATGCAAAAAGGACTTCTTTCCCATTTTCCAGGAGGTCTTTTATCCTACTTCCAATCCATTTAAAACCTGGTAATGTTTCCTGAAATGCAGAGGAGGCCACTCTAGTTAAGTGAATCTCTCATAAATATATATTAAAGAAAAACCTGTCACTAAATGCACATAACACTTGCACAGTGATCTTTTGTTATATTTTCAGTCCCCAAGATTTTTACAGTGGTAGATATATAGTCATAAAGTGCCATGAATACACACACTGTCACTATTCATTACCTACTACTTACTGAGCATAGGAAGGTGATTTATACCAAATATAATCCAGTATTTATAAGTGGTGATGTGAGGATTCATAAAGTGAAACAGATACATTCATAGATTATGATCATCTACTATTTATCAAGCATTGTAATAGATGCTTTACATCCATTATCTCTTAACGCTTGCAAAAAACTCTGTTGCTGAAACAGAGGCTTAGAGGTTAGGTAAATTAGCCCAAGATCAAGCTGCATATAAAAGACGGAGCCAGGATTAAATTACACGGACTCTCAGAAACTGTCCTTTAAGCTTTATTAAAACCACTGATGTAAGAGTACCTATGAAAGTTGTGATTTAGTCTCCCTGAGTAATCAAAGGCTATAAAACTTTTTAAATTATGCACTTTCAACATCACCACAACATATATTTGAACTAACTTTATCTTACCATCACATTGTGGCCTAAATAAAACCACCAAGGAAGTTACTAAGTCCTTCTTTGGTGATTAGATTTGAGGATTTTTCATTTAATGAACTACTGTTCATTTTAAAGACATGAAACTGTTTCAGAGTTAACAGAAAGAACATGTGATACACACTAATTCTAGGACTCATCATTATTAATTTAAGATTCCTAATTCACCTATTTCCTATCAAAAAAAAAAGAAAAAACCAAAATCATACACACACAACAAAAACAAGCAAGCAACTGTATCTCTTTTGTGCTTATTATACATTTTTCTTGCCATAGATATAAACAAGGAAAATATTAACATCATTGTAATTCAGAATCTTAGGCTTGAATAAGCTTTCAATTTCTTTTAGTTGGTTATTTGTGTTTTAGAAAGGCTAAGGTTGGAAAGTTATATCTCATAAAGACAGGTACAATTTTCTTTTAGTCAGCCAATTAGTATTAAGACCTGTAGCATAACTATGGTTCAAGAAAAATACCCAAATGTGACATTTCCACTGACATTTGGCAAAGATGACAGAGTAAAGGCAACTTAATTGACATTTGTCCCAGTAGCTTCAAAAAAATGACCCATTAAAGGTCAACTTAACTGCCCGACATTCACAAAGGTTAATGATCTGTGTTGAGAGAGAGAGAGCTTTTGGATATAGAATTGGTCTTAAATTACAACTTAGAAGACTACTTAAAGTTGCTTAAGACTGAGCTTGAAGAGCCTAAACAAGTGGTTGGTAACACCTACAATTTTTTGGAGTAGAGTCTATTTTACTGATAAGGCCACCAGGAGCCAAATTTTCCCAGTATGAAAACCAGATATTGTTGTATGGAATAATAAGCGTTAATGTAATTTTTTTGAATATCTTATCGTAGTCCCAGAAATTGTTCACATACTGGATAAATTTGGCTTAAGGTATCTGAACCTTAAGAATTTAAAACTGTTAACAGAATTAGAAAAAATGGGTGAAATTACAAATAAAATCAATAAATTTTTGGTAGGGAGATGCCTTTAATTTAGAGAAACAGGTGTAGAAGAGTAGCACACAGATTATTATCTATTCTTACTTCAAAATGAAATCCTTCTTTAAATGCAATTGCCTTCAGTATTTTAGAAGAGACTGTGGTGGCTAACATATAAACATTCTTCACATCAGCGTTTCTTGATTTATTTTTCTTCCAGCAATCAAACATCCACCACCCAAACAAAGCGGCCAACTCATTCCCTGTGAAAACTTTCCAATGACCACTGTAGAGAGAATGAAGATTTAAAGTCAAGGCCTCTCTAGTTTCTCATTAAAACTTGTTGACTCTAAGACCTAAAAACTAGAATCCTGATAAGACAAAACAAAAATCATCACACAGGATCTCTGAGAAAACATTTACTACTAGTTTTCTAATGACACAGGGGTGGGCTCAGGGTAGGAATGGCTGGCTGCAATGTCTTTTGGAAAATTATTCCATTGTTGTCTTTATTCCATTACTCAATGAGAAAAAAATCATGATAAATGTTTAAGCCTTTTCTGAGTAAGGGTATCTGTCACAAAATATAAACGGCAAAAATACATTAACTACCCAAAGGCAAACATTAGGTAATCATTAAATAAATTGATAATATGTTGGGATATTATGCTATTTTTTAAATTAATATTCTCAAACAGTATTTTAGGACAGGGAAGATTGCTTATACTACAGTGTTAAGTGGAAAATAACCAGGATACAAAACTACATGTAGCATAATCACAATTTTATAAAAACAAATTTATCTTTAAATATTTGATTAGAAAGTAGGATTGGAAGGAAATGTCAAGATATCAACTTAAGCCTTGGATTATGGAGCATATAGAAGATTTATATTCTTTTTTTATTTTTTCATTATTTTCAGTGAGCCTTTAAGACTTAAAATAAAAGACTGTTTTTCAAAGTTTAAGCTTTTAATTGAAGAATAAATTCTACTTACTTTTCCTGAAGTTCCGCCACTGCCAGTCGGTCTGCATCAGGGTCTGTGGCTAGGACGACACGGGCATTTTCTTTCTCTGCTAGTCTCAGAGAAAGTTCCTGAAACAGTGACCCAAAAAGCTAGATTATACTAAAGAAGTTAAATTCAATGCTAATATTCCTAAATGTAGGCACTATGTCAGTCCTATGCATTTTAGAAGGAATATAGTTTGGCTAAATTTAAAATAAGAAGCGTAGAGGTAGGGATACCACCATAGAGATTTCAATCTAAAATGGAACATAAGGCTCCAATATAATTTAAAAGATGTAAACTAAAGTGGATCTTGCTTTTGTAAGTAATTTTTTTTTTGTAAGTAATTTTTGAATTGTCGGTGAATTCTACCTATTCTGATGAAGTTTCACAAACAAACGATAATTGAAATAGATATTTAAAAAATACCAGCACAGATTCTCCTTCTTCAGGATTTGGGCATTTAACAGTAGAAAAGTCTGGATCAGGATCTTTTTGTTCTGGTACCGGAATTGGGGGCTTAAAACCAAACACTTGAAAAGCCAACTGTACATAGTCATGTCCAACGCCATGAAAAGATGTATGAACAAATTTCAAGGTGGTCTTTGAGTTTATTTCCCTATAAAAGAAAATCATAATTCAATCAATATCATAAAACTTATTACTTGTGATATAATGAAAAACAGTCCAATTCTGAGAAAAAGTGATTAAAGCCGCAGATGTCTAAGGTATTTTAAAAAACAAAACAAAACTCCACAACTACGCAGTATTAACTTAAAGATCAAAAAGATTTTGAACGCACTGCATTCTTTCTTTGTGGTTCAGCTCCTTGACCTGGATAGCTTTCTTCCATCTGCTAAGCAAGCCACCATCATGTTATCTCTTATTGGAACCATCACAAAAACTTTCCTAACTGGTTTTTCTTATCCTCCAGCAGACCCCTCCTTTCTTCACTTCCTTTATTTCCAGCTTAGACCCCCAAGATATCTAATTTGAATCACCTTTTTATATATCATCTCAGTTACTTTAATGCTCCAGTATCCCAACGTTGTTGAACCACTATGTGTGTTTTCCAGGTGTGCATCAAAATAGCCAAATATTGCTACAGTTAATCTCAGAAAAAGGTATGAACGGTTTCATTTTAAATGGACACAACACTGTCAGGCAATCCTACTTTGTTATCCAAATAAGCTTACTTTTTTTTACTCTACGAGATGGTGATTCAATACCTTCTTGACTTAAAATCTAACCCACTGCTGTCGAGTCAATTCCAAATCATAGTGGCCATGTAGGACAAAGCAGAACTGCCCCATAGGGTTCCCAAGGCTGTAAATCTTTACAGCAGCAGACTGCCACATGTTTCTTCCATGGAGCAGCTGGTGGGTTCAAACCTCGGACTTTCTGGTTAGCAGCCAAGCACTTAACCACTGCGCCACCAGGACAAACGTTCAGCTGCTAACGAAAGGTCAGGGGTTGAACCCACCAGGTGTTCTGCGGGAGAAAAATGTGGTAGTCTGCTTCCCTAAGGATTTTCAGCCTTGGAAACCCTATGGGGCAGTTCTACTCTGTCCTACAGGGTTGCTATGAGCCAGAATCTACTCTATGGCAGTGGGTTCTTGGCTAACCCTTGCATATTCCTTTTCTTTCTCCTTACCTCATGTATCATTGAGACACAAAAGCTATCTGATGGGAACTTCCTAATCTTCTCACACCAAATTTACTACCCCACCAGCATCTGTAACGCTTCTTTTCCTTCTTCCATCTGACAACAATGAGGAAGTGTTCTTCTTCCTATCAAAGTTAATCCCTCCACTTCTGCTCTGGTCCCCCTCTTCTCTCACTTAAAAACTTTAGTAGTTTAGTTAGCCTGTCTCTCCCACATCATTCCCATTAGCCTCTAGTTCCCATTTATCTTGTCTTTTTCACAGCAAAACTCTCTATATCCTTACCTACCATTTACTAGCCACCCTCTCTTTTTATTATGACAATTTTCAAAGGTACAAAAAAGAAGAGAGAATAACGTAATATCCATATATCCATCACTTTGCTTCACATTTATCAACATTTTGCCAATCTAATTTCATTTATTCGAGACATTATTACACATGAAAGTACTTTAGTATTTAAAAACATAACCACAATAGCATTATCACATCTAACAAAATTAACAATAATTCCTTAATATCTAGTACCTGTCTGTGTTCAAGTTTCCCCAAGTGTCACAAAAATCCTTTTTATAGTTGGTTTACTCGTGTCGCTATGAGTCTGAATCAATTCGATGGCAATGGGTTTGGTTTGGTTTTTGGTTACTTGTATCAGGATATGAACAAGGTTCACATCATTTGGCTGATATGTCTCTCAAGTCTCTTTGAATGTATAAATGTTCCTTTCCTTCTTTATTTCCCATGTAATTTATTAGCCGAAGAAACTAGATTATTTGCCCTACATCTTGGACATGCTGATTGAATCCTCTTGGTATTAATATGTCCCTCTCTCCCTTGTTTTTTCTGTAAATAGGTAGCTGAATCTAGAGGCAACATTAGATTCAGTTTCAATTCTTTTGCAAGAATAGGTGCTGTGTACTTCCTATTCAATCATAAGGGGAAGCACATAATGTCTCTTACTTTTTAATAATGTTAAATTAAGTTTCATCTGTGTTTGTTTGTATTTATCAGTGATTATTCTTTTTTGTCAATTGGATTGTCCCATCTTTGGTCAGTGGGAGCCCCTTCAACTTGGCTTTTAAATCCTTTTGATATGACCCCAGTATCTTGGATATCTTTCTTATTTTCTGGCAAAAAAAAAAAAAAAAAAAAACAGAAAATGACAAATGTTGGAGAGGCTGTGGGGAGATTGGAACTCTTACTTTCAGCTTTTGTTGAATAAGAGTGTCTTCATTCTGCCTTCAGCAACATAAACACACTTGAAAAAAAAAAAAAAAAAAAAAATCCCAGGCTCATTTAGTACATTTCCTCACCTAGTCCTGGAATCAGCAATTTATCTAAGAAGCTCTGGCTCCTTTTTAGTGGGAAATGGTATTTAGAAACCACAATATGGGCTTTAGGGGTGCTCACAGGCCTTTTCAATGAATAATATTAGTATTTTAGACAGAAGTAAATGAATCATGAGTTCATATTAATATTTCAAATTCAAGTTTAAAATTATAGTTTTAAAATTTATTTTCTTTGATTTTATATGTTTCTCTTATGCTAAAATCTTAGTCCCTGGTGACATTAACATAATTATCTATGTGTTTTATTTTACATATATGCATGTCTGTGTGTTTTATATATATATATATGTATATGTATATGTATATGTATATATATATATATATATACACAAAAACATATATTTACACACACACAAACAAATCATACTAACAACAGTGATGTTGTTGTTAGGTACCACTGAGTCAATTTTGACTCATACTGACCCCATGTGACAGAGCAGAACTGCCCCATAGGGTTTTTTATTAGGCTATAGTCCTTATGGGAGCAGATAGCCAGGTCTTTCCCCCTTGCAACAGAAGCTGGGTGAGTTCGAATCACCAACCTTTCTGTTAGCAGCCGAGCGCTCAACCGTAGTGCCACCAGGGCTCCTTACTACCAACAGTAGTACCACGGAATTCAATCTGAGGTTTCTTTGTGGTTCTTTATTCTTATGATATATCCCATTAGAAACGAATGGTCAAATTACTGTGTTTTAAAGTCACTTGAAGTAATTCTTCTCTGTGTGAATATGCCTCTCATGTGATATATAGTTACGTTTGTTTGTTTTAATTTGCTTTTGCCCATATACTCTTTAAAAAACAAAATTGTTAAAGAATTAAACATTTTAGACAAAACCAAAGTCCCCTTTGTAGCTTCCTTCCCTAGAGATAACCACTATCCTGAATTTTGTACTTTTTCATTGCCATGCAACTTGAAACAATTTTTTTAACCACCTATGTATATACCTGTAGATATGTCCTAATGTTTTACATGGTTTTGAACTTTATATAAATGGTATACTAATTACTCTACACCTTGCTTTTTTCACTCAATATTATGTTATTGAGAATTTTCCATGTTTATACATATAGTGCTGATTAATTTATTTTCATTAATGTTATCATATTCTATTGAATGGATGTACCCTGATTTATTCATTCTGTTGTGGATGAACATTTAGATTTTTCTAGTATTTTTTATTACAACCAGTACTGCAATGAACATTCTTGTACACATCTTTTGCCCACATGCCAAATTTTTCTTCAAATTAGTTTTATCAATTTATCTTCTGCAGATGTGTATCTCATATCTCCACTGTCTCCATATTTTTGCCAATGCTTCAGGTGGTTAAACTTTAATTTTTTTTCCATTGTCACATGTAAAATAGTGGTTTTTGTTGTTTTAACTTGCATTTTCTCCAATTACGAGTGAACCTATTTATTCATTAACCCATTACAATCTGGCTCTCATTCCAAGAACCTCACTGAAACTGCTTATACAAAGGGTATTAATAACCTTCACATTACCATATCCAAATACTATTTCTTTCTCCTTATCTTACTTGATCCTCTACAGTATTGGATATAGCTAACCACTTCTTCAAACACTTTCCTCATTAGACCTTAATGATACCACATTCTCTTCTACCTAGGTAATTATTCCTTCTTAACCTACTTTGCTTACTTTTTTACTTACCTGCTAAATGTTACAGACCCTCTTCTCGTCTCTCTTTCTACACACACCCACCTGGGTAATCGTATTCATTTTCATGACCTTGCATACCTTCTATGTTATTGATCACTTCACTTAAAAATTTAGATCTTCAGCACAAACTTTTGCTTTTATCTCCAGGCTCATATGTAACTACTTACTTGACAGCTCCTCTTAAATATCTCAAAAAACCAAAAAACCAAACAAAAAAAACTCCAAACTCATAGCCGTCGAGTGGATTCCGACTCATAGCGACCCTATAGGCCAGAGTGGAACTGCCCCAGAGGGTTTCCCAGGCTGTAATCTTTATGAAAGCAGACTACCACATCTTTCTCCCTCGGAGTGGCTGGTAGGTTCGAACTGCCAACCTTTCTGTTAGCAGCTGAGTACTTAACCACTGTGCCACCGGGGCTCAGATTTTTAAGATTAAGATACCTATGAGATCAAACACTGAACTCTTCAGGCTCTTTTTTTTTTTACCCTATTCCCCAGTCCTCATTAAACCTATTCCTCCTTCCTCTTCTCCAAATTATTAATGTGCACCACTATCTACCCAGCTATTAAAGTCAGAAACTCAGTAGTCACCTTTAAGTCCTTCCTTTCTCTTTCTGCCTACGTTCAATTTATCTGCAAGTCCTCCTGGCTCTGCCTCCAAATATCTCTCAGATCTGTCTACTTCTATTTCCACTGTCACCACTCTAAGCCATCACCTTGGTTCCACTCTTAGGTACATACCAGTTGCTATCGAGTCGGTTCTGATTCATGGTGACCCCATGTGTGTCAGAGTAGAACTATGCTCCATAGGATTTTCAATGTCTGATTTCTTCTGGAAGTAAAAACATCACCAGGCCTTTCTTCTGAGGCACCTCTGGGTGAACTTAAACCTCCAACTTTTCAGTTAGCAGCTGTGCATATTAACCATTTGTACCACCAAGCAACCTTCTACTCTTACTTCCCTCTAATCCAGGCACAGTAGCCAGAATGATCTTTTTAAAAAGTAAATCAGATAGTGCCACCCCCTGCTTAAAAGCTCTTCAGTGGTTTCCCAATGCATCTGGAATTAAATCTCAACTTCTTTCCATGGCCTATAAGGAACCGCTTGATCTGGCTCCTGCCTCATCTTCCCCCTTTCTATTCCTACCCTCTACTCCCACACTTACTATCCTCTAGTTTTTCTGACTTTGTCATTTCTCAGAACACACCAAGCTCTTTTCCATTTCAGAATCTTTGTGCTTGCTGTTTCCTCTGTCCAGAATGTTCTTTCTTGTTCTGTTAGCCCTCTCATCTCTAATCAGGACTGACTCATTCCCATTCTTAAATGTCATTTCCTCAGAGGGGCCTTTCTGACTACCATTCCCTAAAGGAGGTCCACTCCATTATTCCTATCATAGCACCCTACTTCCTTCACAGTACCAATAACAATCTGTAATTATTTTATAATTATTTATTTGACTGCTGAGAAAATGTAAACTCTTTGAGGTAGGCACCTCATCTGTTTTGTTCTAAATTTTTAGTGCCTGGATCAGTGCTTGCCACATAATAGGTTCACAGCAATTATGTGTTAAATGATTGAATGACAAAATGACAACTATTTTTATGATACTTCAGAGTTAAAATGACTCAGATTAAAGTGTTTATATGTAAACACACAGAGATAACAAAAATATCAAATTCCTTTAGATTTACTATATCTAGCAGCATTTGGAGCCCTTGTGACACAGTGGTTAAGCTTGGCTGCTAATCCAAAGGTCAGCAGTTTGAATCCACCAGTTGGTCCCTGGAAGCCCTATGGGGCAGTTCTACTGCCTATAGGGTCACTATGAGTCAGAATCGAATCGACAGCAACAGGTTTGGTTTTTTGTTTTTTTTTTTTAGCAGCATTTAGCTGGTACTACTGCTCACTTCTCATTTTGGAAGGAGAAACAAACAATTTATAGCTTGATGGGAGTATTTCTGAAAATAAAATAAACTAGATAAAAAGCTAAAATCTACTTTGTACGATAGGGAAAATGTATTAGCAAGCCAGATTCTTTCTAGCAAGTGTTAGTTTTATGTGAAAGTCAAATTTTAAAGGAAATTTCCTGACCTTATTATATAAAGGGCATACATATATATAACCATATTTTAAAATAGTTTTATTGAGATATGGTTCACATATTATAAAATCTAACCAATATAAAGTGTATAATTCAATGGCTTTCAGTATATTCACAGAGTGGTACAACCATCACCACAATCAATTTTAGAACATTCTCATTATCCCAAAAAGAAACTCTGTATCCCGAAGCCACCCACCCCAATCCTCCCATTCCTCCCTGCCCTAGGCAACCACTAAGCTACTTTCTGTCTCTGTAGATTTGCCTATTCTCAACATTTCATATAAATGGAATCATACAATGTGTGGTTCTTTGTGACTGGCTTCTTTCACTTAACATATTTTCAAGGTTTATCCATGTTATAGCATGTATCAGTACTTCATTCTTTTTTGCAGCTGAATAATATTCCACTACATGTATATACCACATTTTATTTATACATTCATCAGTTGATGGATATTTGGGTTGTTTTCAATTTTTTCTATTATGAATAACAGTATTTAGCTGTAATATTTTAAAATAATGAATAGACAACAAATTTTTATCCCTTTTTACTCCTTTCATTTTTTAAAATTATTCTAAGGTAATGCTATCCTATATTCCCACTTGGATACCTGTGAAAACAGATCTTCTTCAGATCTTCCATGTATCTTTTACAAATGTCCTGTAGAGGATCTTTCTTCAGTGGGCTGGTATCCACTAAATTATCATTCCAGGAACCATTCCAGGGTTCCACACATTCTTCTATACATTTCAGAATTTCTTTATCATGAGGAGATGTGATCTGGGCACCAGTTTCCCAATAAACCTAGATGATAGGTAAATATAGCTATAATTACTTGAAATGTTTGTCAGATTCTATCTTAACTACAGTAGAGATCTTTGGCTTTATAAAGGAGCACACCAAGTGAATCAAATAGAAGAGGTTGACACGGGACTAATTTAATAAATACCAAAGAATACTGAAGTTTTTGAAGATTCCACAGGGACTCTTCAGTAATGCAATCATGTATGATTTTTCTCTTTTAAAAAGTATACTTTAATAACAATACAAATAAAATATAAGCAGGGTATCATTATGACAACATTATAATATGCATATACCATAGTATCAAATCATACCCTTAGATTTATAATCATATACTAAAGATAATCTTAGAAAGAATGGAATATCTCACAAACCTGGATACTACTAATCTTTAGCATTATAAAATGGTTCTGCTATATGACACAGAAGAAATAATTTTTCAGATATAAATTAAAGTAGAATTTATGTCACACCAGATTAAGTCAGGAAAGATTATTAATGTGTTAATTATTTACATTTCATAAGTTGTCAGTTTGCCAAGTAGCTTGATCAATAAGACCTTAGAAGTTACCCAAAAAGCCAGAAAATGTATTTCTAATAATTCACAGTTAGAAGGGATTCTGCTTAGAGGATATCCATACTGACTTCTACCATATATATGACATAAGTCCCTTCTATTGTATCCTGAGTGAAGGAAAGAATTTGAATATCTATGTACTAAGCTCTGTGCCAAGTAATATGGTAGACTAGATGACCTGAAAACGCTTCCTTTATAAATACCTCAAAATGCTAAAGTATTTTAAAAAACATTATCTAAATGTATAGTTATAAAATAAAATAAATGTATAGCATAGCTCACAAGAAGGAAAGGGGAAACTCCAGGCAGTAGGGAAAAAATAAAGAATTGAAAACCAGAGTGATAAGACACTGAGTGGGCTGATCTGGTGCCCAGGGTTTAGAGACAGTCCATTTATCTGGCTCTTGAGTTGCAACGTCCATGTGCAAGATAGGGAGTTGGAACTGAGACCCCTTAATAAAAATGGGATCATTGAAGGGTTTCACTTCTGGTGAAACTATGGAATAGAAAAATTTCTGCCCACTGCCATGGAGAGATGATGAGGAATTCTGTCTGTCTCTTCCTGGGCTCTAGGTGAGTAAAAAAAAAAACAAAAAAACTCCCTTTAGAATTCAAACCCTGAGGTCTGGACCTCCATTATCTTAGGACAAGAATTGATAAATTAATACAGAAACTGCTCCCAAGTCAGTGATACCTGTGAGAATCTGACAGATATTAAAAACAAAACAAAACAAACAAAACAAAAAGTGCTCTGGAGGGATGTTCCTGCATTTTAAGTGACAAAAAAGATTCTTTCCATAAGCCCTGAAAGCTCACAGTGAAAATTTATAAAACACAAGAAAAAATTCCTGGCCTGTCTATCTTTCTGCCCCTTCTTCTTGTCTTGTATGTGGACATGATATCTGGAGGTACAGCAACCATCATGTGATGGTCATGTTTAAGGGAAAGGCCAAAAAATTGCAGTGATAAAATTGCAGCGATATCAGGCCTGACATCACTGAGCTACAGAACCATGCCAGCAGCCATATACCTCTGGACTTCTTGTTGTGTGAGAAAAATAAACTATCAGCTTAAGCCACTTTTGTTGGGTCTTCTGAACCTACAGCTGAAAGCATCCTTAATTGATATAGTAATAGAAAAACTGATCCAACAAAACATACTCAGACAAAAGATTGGAGTTTCAAGTCCATCCAGAGGTGCCTCAGAAGAAAGGCCTGATGGTCTACTTCAGAAAAATCAGTCATTGAAAATCCTATGGAGTGGAGTTCTACTCTGACACACATAGGGTTGCCATGAGTTGGAATTGACATGACAGCAACTGGCTTGGTTCCAGAAAAGTTTCTTTTAATAAACTTTAAAAGAAATGTGAAAGATCTATTAAAAAAAAAAAACAACCAGAATTTGAGAATGCCACTAAAGGATCAAAAAGAAGTCTTGAAAGAATCAAAAGATATATCCCGTTCTTGAACAGGGAGACTTAATAATATTATAAAGATATTGAAACTCTCTAAATTAATCTACAAATGTAATGTGATACCAATAAAGATGCCCAAACAATCTTTTTTGATTGGACAAACAGATTGTAAAGTTCATATAGAAAAACAAGTTTCAAAAATGGTCAGGAAAATTCTGAAGAGTAGTAATGAGAAGGGACTAAGCTTTACTGCTATTAAAAGAGATTTTAAAGCTTCAGTGATTAAAGAGTTTAATATAGGCATACTAATCGATATAACAATAAACAGAATAAAAACAAACAAACAAAAAAACAAACTCGGTGCCATCGAGTCGATTCTGACCCACAGTGACCCTACAGGGCAGAGTAGAGCTGCCCCATAGGGTTTTCCAAGCCTGTAATTTTTATGGAAGCAGACTGCCTCATCTTTCTCCCATGGAGCAGCTGGTGGGTTCAAACTGCTGAGCCTTCCATTAGCACCTGGGCATATAACCACTGCGCTACCAGGGCTCAAAGAAACAGAAAAGAATACCATAAATACACTCAAATGCGATGGAAATGTAGTATATAATAAATGCTGAATTTCAAATCAGCGGGGAAAATGGATTCTTCAATAATGTAGGGCCAACTGAGTGGCCATTTTGGGGGAAAAAAGTTGTATCTTATCTCACTACATAATAAATATGTGCCAGATAGATCAAAACTTAAATATAAAGAAACAGAACCGAAAAGAAAATATGGAAAAAATTATATGATATCTAAATGAGAAAACTTTTTCTAAACATAGCATAGAACCTAGAAACCTAAAAGAGTAAAAAATTAAAATTTTCTACATGGAAAAATATCATAAAGACAAATGATAATTTGGGGGGAAATATGTGCAAAACAGATTACCAAGAGCTACTTTTTATATTTAAAGAGTTTCTACAAATTAACAGAAAAAGAGAAATGGCACTAGAGAAAAATGGGAAACTCTTTTAAGAGAAAGTTCTCAGGAATGAAAACACAAATATCTTTAAGTACTAGCCAGAAGGTCTGTGGTTCCAACCCACGCAGAGGCACCTTATAAGACAGAATTGGCAACCTGCTTCACAGCCTTGAAAACTCTATGGAGCAGTTCTACTCTGCACATGCGAGGTCCCCATGAATCAGAATCGAGCTTGGCAGCAACTAACAGCAACCACATGGGGTAAAAGGCAGTCATATATTGTTGGTGAGAGTATCAACTGGTACAACTACCTTGAAAAGAGAACATCAAATTTTCTTTGCATATTCCCTTTGACCCAGATGTTCCGCTTCTAGTGATTTACCCTATAGAAAGCTGTGCCCAGGAGAAATACAATGTGATACTCAAATGCAATCCACATAGGTAATTTTAAATCCTCTAGTAGTCACATTAAAAAATAAAAACAGGTGAAGTTAATTTTAATATATTTTCTATAACCCAATATATCGAAAATATTATCATTTCAGCATGTAATCAACATAAAATTATTAATGAGATATTTTACTTTTTTTTGTACTAAGTCTTCAAAACCCAGTACGTATTTTACATTTACAGCACGTCTCAATTCAGACTGGCCATATTTTAAGTAATGGCTTATGGCTACCATATCAGACAGTGTAGCTGTAAATGATAAGACTATAAACAACCGCTAACATTTATTGCACACTTATCAGATCCAGACACTGTGCTAGGCATTTTATATTCACTATCTTATTAAACCCTCACTCTCATCCTATGATGTTGGTTCTATTTTTATTCCCAGTATGCAGATGGGGAAACTGAACTGTCTTAGTCATCTAGTGCTGCTATAACAGAAATACCACAAGTGGATGGTTTTAATGAAGAGAAGTTTATTTCCTCACAGTCAAAGTAGGCTAAAAGTCCAATTTCAGGGCGTCAGCTCCAGGGGAAGGCTTTTCCTCTCTGTCAGCCTTCTCTTCAGTGTTCCCCCAGACTAGGAGCTTCTTGGCACAGGGACCCCTGTCCAAAGGACGCGCTCTGCTCCTGGCACTGCTTTCTTGATGGTATGAGGTCCCCCTGTCTCACTGCTCACCTCTGTCTTTTATATCTCAAGAGATTGCCTCAGGACACAATCCAGTCTTGTAGATCAGGTCCTGCCTTACTAACACAACTGGCACCCATCCTCCCTCATTAACATCATACAGGCAGGTTTACAACATACAGAAACATCACACAGTACCAGGAATCATGGCCTAGCCAAATTTACACATTTTTTGGGGGACATAATGCAAACCATGACAAGAACCAAAAAAAAAAAACCAGTTGCCATGGAGTCAACTGCGACTCACGGCAACCCCATGTGTGTCAGAGTAGAACTGTGCTCTAGGGTTTTCAATGGCTGATTTTTCAGAAGTAGACTGCCAGGCCATTCTTCCAAGGTGCCTCTGGGTGGACTCAAACCTCCAACCTTTCAGTTAGCAGTGAGCATGTTAACCATTTGTACCACTAAGGGACTCCAGGGAAATGGAAGTACAGGGAAATTAAGTAACTTGCCCAGGGTCTGAGTGGCTTAGGTAGGTTCCAAACCAAACCCATACTCTTAACTACTATTCTGTACTAATTCTCTAAATCTACTTGTACATGTGAACAAAGATGTATGTAGAAAAACATTCATTGTAGTACTGTTTGTAAGTAGCAGAAGATCAGAAACAAATAAAATGTTCATCAACAAGGGACTGGTTAAATAAATTAGGATTCATCTAATACAGTGGAATACTGCATAGATTTTAGTATGAATGACGTAGATCTATATATTGAGAGAGAGGCGGGGGAGAGAGGGAGACAGCGAGGTAGAGAGGGAGAAAGACAGAGAGAGAGAGATGGAATGATCTCTAAGACATACTGTTCTGTAAAAATTCAAAGCACAGAACACTGTATATAGTGCCCTACCATTTGTGTAAAAAAATGGGGGAGTGACAAATACATATATGTTTATATATGCATAGACTACCTCTGGTAGGAAACTAAAACTGGGAACAGTAATTGTTTCTGAGAAGGGGCACTGGGGAGCAAGGATGGAAGAGATACTTTTCACTGTTTAGGTTTTATGCTGTTGGATTTTATTTTGTGCTTATATTGTGAGAGAGAAAACACCACCAACAACAAAAATCTTTGAGGGTCTACTATGTGCCAAGTCTGTTTAACAGCAATAAACATCAAAACAGATTTAAGCCCTTCCCCCATGAGCTTATATCTGGGGGATGGAAATGTGGGAAGGTCAAATAAGTCAATAAACTAACACGGTAATTCATCACAAAGAAACTAGATAATTACAGATAGTGATAAGTGCTAGGAAGGAAATAAACAGGATGATGAGAAATTTACCGAGGGAAGCCACTATAGCTAAGGTGGCAAGGAATGTCTCTTCAGGGAAGCAACATGTGAATTGGAACCTGAAGGATGAAAATAAGTAAGTCTGCAAAACTGGGGAAGAGCAATCTAAGCAGAGGAAAAAACAATTACAAAGGTTCAGAGGTAGCAAAGAGCTTGGTATACTGCAGAAACTGGAGGGACCAAAAAGGATCAGCAGTGTGACTGGAATGTAGTGAGCACAAAAGCGGAAAGAATGAAATAAGGTAAAAGAAGTAGGCAGGAGGCAGTTCTTGCAGAGTCCTATAAGCCTCAAAGTAAGGAATCTGGATTTTATTCAAAGAAGAACGAGAAGCCATCAAAGAACTTCAAGCAGGAGAGTGACATGACCTGGTTTATTTTTTTAAAGGATCATCTGGCCGCTTTGTGGAGAATGGATTGCAGGGAAGAACTGGGAAGAAGAAAGGAGACCAGCTAGGATGCTGTAGTTCAAACAGAAAACCAGCAACAGCTTGGAAAGATGGAGATGGAGGGGATAGGCAGAGACAGACATATTCAACATATATTTGAGATGTAGAAACTGTATAACCTGTTAACGGAGTGAACGTTAGGAGTAAAGGAAAGGGGGTGATCAAGAATGATTTTTGGGTTTTGTATAGGTGAGTGGTAATGTCAATTTACAGCGGTGGGGAGGACTACAGAAGGAACATATTTGGCAGTGTATGTGGCAGGTTGTAGGGGGATCAAGAGCTCTGTTCTAACAGAGACATTGATTTTGAGATGTCTGTTAGATCTGATGGGTATCAGGGTAGGCAGTTTGATATAGAAGTCTGATGCTCAGAGAAGAGGCTAAGTTCTTAACTTTGACAGTTGAGCTTTCCCTCCTTGAAAATCTCTTATTCCTTTGATTTCTATGTTATTGGTCTTTGCTGGTCTTTCTTCTATCTCCTATCCCTAACTCCTCTTCTTCCTCCCTTCCCTTAAAGTTGGTACTCCCTAGGAATCCCTTCTTGCCCTCCTCTCTTTCTTACTATCTCTGGGCTGCTCATCCAAGTAAAGGACTTCCAAATACTCTTAAATGTGTGTTGATCCCAAATCTATAATTTCAGCCCAGACTTCTCCCTTGAAAAACAGATCTATGTATTCAACTGCCTATAGACATTGCTACCTGGTTGACTACAAACATTTCAAACTTAATATGCTCAAAACTGAATTAGCACTCAACAACAAAAAGACAAACAACTCAATCAAAAAATGGGCAAAGGACTTGAACTGACTGTTCACCAAATAGGGTATTCAAATGGCCAAAAAGCACGTGAAAAGATGCTCAACATCATTAGCCATTAGGGAGATGCAAACCAAAACCACAACGAGATATTACCTTACTCTCATTAGAATGGCAATGAATTAAGAAAAGAAAGAAAGAAAACAACAAGTATTGGTGAGGTTGCAGAGAAATTGGAACCTTCATCCATTGCTAGTGAGAATACAAAACGGTCCAGCCATTGTAGGAAACAGGTTGGTAGTTCCTCAAAAATTGAACATAGAATTAACATATGACTGAGCAATACCAATCCTTGGTATATACCCAGAAGAAGTGAAGGCAGGAATACAAACAGAAACCTATACACCAATATTCATTGTAGCACTTTTCACAACAGCCAGAAGGTGAAAACCAAAATGTCCATCACCAGATGCATGGATAAGCAAAATGTGATATGTACACACAATGGAATATTACTCAGCCATAAAGAGAAATGAAGTTCTGATGCATGCTTCAACATGGATGAACTTTGAAAACACTATGCTGAGTGAAATAAGTCAGTCTCAAAAGAACAAATACTGTATGATCTCACTTATATGAAATAAGCAAATATATAGAAATCAAAGATTATTAATGGTTACCAGGTACAGGAGGGAGGGGGAAAGGGGAAGTTTTTGTTTGGGGGTATTGAATTTATATTAATGGCGACAGAATATCTGGAAAAGGATAGCAACCATTGTGGCACAACATGGAAATGTAATCAGCGTCACTGAATTGTAAGTGTGGAAGTTGTGCTGGGGAATGTTTAGGTGTGTAAATTTTTAGCACAGTTTAAAAAAAAAAAGGATAAAAGTCAACAAACAAGAAACTGAATTAATTATACTTCTTCCCCGGTCCATTCCTCTGGTGTTGTGAATTGAATTGTGTTCCCCAAAAAGATATGAAGTCCTAATCCCTGTACCTGTGAATGTGACCTTGTTTGGAAATAGAGTTTTTCTTTTATTATCCAGTTAAGTAAAATGAAGTCATACCAGAGTATGGTGGATCCTAATCCCTTCTGAGTGGCATCTTGTTAAAGTGAAAGACAGACACAGAAACAGAGTCACACACAGAAAGAAGTCACCATGTGAAAATACAAACAGCAAAGGAATGCCAAGGATTGTTGGCAGACACTAGAAGCTAGGAGAGAGGCATGAAGCAGTTCCTCTCTCAGAGCCCTCAGAAGGAGCTGACACAGGCTGATTCGGACTTCCAGCCTCTAGCTTCTTCAAAGCCACCCACCTTGTGGTATTTTGTTACAGAGCCCCAGGAAACTAAGACAGCTTGCCAGGGCCAAAACGTTAGATTAGTGTTAAATCTTCTTTTTCCCAATAAAACAGAACTCAGCATGCCCAGAATCCTTCCAAACAAGAAGAGAAACAAATACGAGAACATGGATTCATCCCCAGAAGCCCCAAGCACTGCTTCAGTACTATGCCAGGTATCTTCCGTTTGCTCCTCCTGGGCCACTCAACCTTTCTGCACTCTGCTATCTGCCACAGGAGGCTGACACATCAAATGCACCCTGTGGCCAATGGGAGGCCTGGTAGATGGGAGGGAGAGGAGAATGAGGTCAAGGAATTTATTCCTCAGGCTTTCTTCTTGCAAACAAACTCCTATTCATTCTTTTTTTTTTTTTTTTTTTTTTTTTTGCTTTAGGTGAAAGTTTACAGCTCAAGTTAATTTCTCATACAAAAATTTATACAGTTATTGTTGTGACACTAGTTGCAGTCCCCTTTTCCACCCTGGGTTTCCAGTGTCCATCCAACCAGTTCCTGTCCCTTCCTGCCTTTTCATTCTGCCTCCAGACAGGAGCCGCCCTTTTGGTCTTGTGTATCTGCTTGAACTAAGAAGCACACTCTTCACAAGTATTATTTTATGTTTTAAAGTCCAGTCTAAACTTTGTCTGAAGAGTGGGCTTCGGGAATAGTTTCAGATCTGGGTTAACAGGTGTGTGGGGGTCGTGGCTTTAGGAGTTCCTCCAGTCTCAGTCAGACCATTAAGTCTGGTCTTTTTACATGAATTTGAGTTCTGCTCCGCACTTTTCTCCTGCTCTGTCAAGGACTTCCCATTCATTCTTTAAGTTCTTGGTATAATACAATCTTATTTCTGAAATGGTAGAGAGGATGGATTTGGGATGGGATGGGGAAATCAAGGGCAGTAAGACACAGAAGAAAAAAGACCACTGAAGAGACTTTTGTAATAGTACAGGTTGAGAAGTAATAAAGACCTTAAAGATATGCATTCACTGAGGGCCAGCCTCTGTGTTTTCATCTTTCTGTCCCCAATATCTAGCACTGCTCCCCAGTATAAGAAAACATCCTCAGCACGTATTATTTGAGTAAGTAAGAACTATAAAATAAGCAAAAGGTCCGGAGTCCAAGGTTTACCTTGTATCCATTATCTTCCTTGCGGTTATGAGATGCAGTAATCATCACACCTGCAACTGCTTTGAGCTCCTGAACTGCATATGGCTGAAAAAACAATAACATCATAATTCCATTTTGCTTCCTAGCTACTCATACCTTTGACATAAGATTAATTTTGATTAAATAACAGAAAAAGACATGATGGTATAAATGGCCTAAACCTCAACAATCAACACCAGGCTCACTTTATCTGATAATACATTATTTAAAAATGTAATTATTTTAGATCAACAGCTTTGATACCATAGATGTTTGCCATGTCTATTGCACTTAATTTTAAACATTGCTTCTGTTTCTGAAAAACTCAGAAGATAGGTTTTTATCCACAGAGTTCTCAAGAGCTTATTTCTTACAATGTTAGTATGTGCATTTCAGAGACTACGGGGAAGGATAGATAGCACATACACCAGGAGGCATCAGGAATGTGGTTTTAGACATGCTACATTTTAAATGCCTATTAGTCATTCAAGTAAAAGTATTAAATAGGGAGTTACACATTCAAGTCTGGAGTCTCAAAAAGACAAACACTATATGATCTCACTTACACGAAACAAGCAAATATATAAAAACCAAAGATTATTAATGGTTATTGGGGTGGAAGGGAGCGAGAAAGGGGGAGTTTTTGTCTGGGGGTGCATTAAAGTTTTGTTAATGGTGGTAGAATATTTTGGAAAAGGACAGAGACAATGGAGGCATAATTTTATTATCTAAAATCGTCAGTCCATAAATCACTATGTAAATAACAGATATCCAGCATGACCAGTCACCATGTCACTTCTTTCAAACTCTGTCAGTAATTGGTCACTGAGCATCTGTTATTCAGTTGTCACAGACAGCAAAGCATGTAGTTGTGTTGCCTCCTTGTCTCCCAGTAATAAGCCCGTGTGACATTTTATAAAAATGGATAATCAAAAGAGGGAAATGACCAAAAAAGATAAAAGTGGAGCAAAGAAACAAAAGGATGAAGCAATACCAGCAAAACATTTCACATTAAAGGAACTCTAGGAACCCTGGTGGTGCAATGGTTAAGTGCTTGGCTGCTAACTGAAAGGTCAGTGGTTCAAACCCACCAGCTGCTCCATGGAAGAAAAGGCCTGGTGATCTGCTCCTGTAAAGATACAGCCTAGGAAACCCTATGGGGCAGTTCTACTCCATCATATAGGGTCGCTATGAGTCAGAGTCAACTCAATGGCACTTAACAACAACAAAGGAACTCTCAGAGATATTTCACAACATGGAAAATACAAAGATAAAATGCTGGAAGCTGATACAAACTTAGGAAGGAGTATGACAATTCATAGAAAAGATGCTTGCTCTGTATCATAAGTTATAAACCAACAAAGGTAAGCATTATTTAAATTACTCTTTATAAGTTTTTTACAAAAAAATAAAACACTTTAATTCTCACTGTTCCAAATGTTTTAAATTACAGTACACAAATAAATATTAAACTTACTATTTTCTTCATTTTCCTATACATTTATAACCAACAGTAAGGGTGTTTTTAATGATTTGACAAAAATCTTTAAAGGTGACCAAACAATTGTAATTTTTCCCATTGATTATTCTGATCATTTTGCATGGTTTTAGCTTGCACAGTCATTTTTTTTTTCCTTACATATTGTATATTTTAATCAAAGCCTCCAAGCTACTGATTTAGCCCAATTTACAGGCAAATTCATTCCATTCCCAAATATTTTTTTAAATAAAACATGTAAATATAGATCCCTAGTTGATGACTTTCTTACTTCTGAATTCTAAGACAAAAAAATCATTCAAGGTACTGCCTGCCTTTCTTCAGTATTTTCTGCACAAGCTTTCTCTTTACTCTCATGAGACTTCCACAAATTTCTAGAAATGCCTCTGGTATCCTGGACATTTTCACCTCATGGAGAAATCACAAAAGACTGTGGATAAACATAACTAATGTCACTAAACTTAACATGTGAAGAGTGCTGAATTGGCAAATGATTTGTTCCATGTATATTTACTACAATTAAAAAAAAAAAAAGTCATTTTACATTTGAATACTTAGTAAAGCAAGCCCCTCAGATATGCCCCAAATTTCCACCCTATCTGGCAAGACACTTAACATGCCATAAAGTATAATTTCCATTTTATTTTCTTTCAGGTTTGTTTCCCTTCAGCCTTTAAGGGCTCAAATTCTTACATGGGCTTTGGTGGAGGTCATGGAGCAGCACCTTCAGGTCTAAATCGGGGAGGGGGGATTCTGTCCTTCTGGGCTTCACGGGAACGGTTCCTGACCACCTTGTTGTGAATGGCACAACTCACGGAATAACGTAGTTTCACGTACAGCTTGGGAAGCTGTCTTTGGGCACGCAGCGGGCACAGTTCGTGCAGCGAACAGGATGCACATGACCATGGCCCTTTTTGGCAGGACCGTTGTTCCTCCTTTTCTTAGTCATCCTGGAAATGAGGACCTGAGAGAGCTTGCACAGGCATTTTTATGCTTCTATACTGTTGTGTAAAGTGAGAACTGCCTGCTGTTTCTAATCTTTATTACACTATCTTTCTTAACTCATGAATTATGTATTAAAAATGTCTTTTTAAAATTCCAAACATACAGGTTTCTGTGGACTTTCTTATTTCTAATTTTACTGCAATGGAGTCTGGAGACATAGCCTGATAAGTAGTTCTCTGGTATTGAGACTTCCTTTGTGGTTCTGCTTGATAAGAATGTGTATTCTGCACATCAAAAGACTTCACCAAAAGAGTAAAAAGAGAACCTACAGATTAGGAAAAAAATTTTGGACATTACAAGTCAGACAAAGGTCTAATCTCTAAAATCTATAAGAAAATCCAACACCTCTACAACAAAAAGACAAATAATCCAATTAAAAAATGGGCAAAGGAAATGAACAGACACTTCACCAAAGACAACATTCAAGCAGCCAACAGACAGATGAGGAAATGCTCTCGTTCACTAGCCATTAGAGAAATGCAAATTAAAACCACAATGAGATACCATCTCACCCCGGCATTACTGGCACTAATCAAAAACACTGGAAATAAGAAATGTTGGAGGGGCTCCGGGGAGATCGGAACTCTTATGCACTACTGGTGGGAATGCAAAATGATACAACCATTTTGGAAAATGATATGGCGCTTCCTCAGAAAGCTAGAAATAGACATACCATTTGATCCAGCAATTTCACTTCTAGGAATATATCCTAGAGAAATAAGAGTCATCACTCGAATAGACATATGCACACCTATGTTCATGGCAGCATTGTTCACAATAGCAAAACGATGGAAACAACCTAGATGCCCATCAACAGATGAATGGATAAACAAACTATGGTACATACACAAAATGGAGTACTATGCAACGAGAAAGAACAACAATGAATCTGTGAACCATCTCATAACATGGATGAAACTGGAGGACATTATGCTGAGTGAAAGAAGTCAATCACAAAAGGACAAATATTATATGAGACCACTAATGTAAAAACTCTTGAAAAGGTTTACACACAAAAAGAAACAATCTTTGTTGGTTACGAGGGATGGGAGGTGTTTGACGGGGGGGAATACTAAACAGACAATAGATAAGCGGTAACTTTGGTGAAGGGTAAGACAGTACACAATACTGGGGAAGCCAGCACAACTTGTACAAGGAAAGGTCATGGAAGCTCCATAGACACATCCCAAACTCCTGAGCCGTCCCCTAGGTGGACGGCTGTGGGGATCATGGTCTCGGAACATCTAGCTCAATCGGCATAACACAGTTTATAAAGAAAACGTTCTACATTCTACCTTGGTGAGTAGTGTATAGGGTCTTAAAAGCCTGTGAGCAGCCATCTAAGATACTCCACTGGTCTCACCCCTTCGGGAGGAAGGGAGAATGAAGAAAACAAGATATAACGGAAAGAGTAGTCCAAAGGACTAATGGACCACAACTACCACGACTGAGTCCACTACAACTAGATGGTGCCTGGCTACCACCACAGACTGCTCTGACAGGGATCACAACAGAGGGTCCCAGACAGAGCTGGAGAAAAATGTAGAACAAAATTCTAACTCACAAAAAAAGACCAGACTTACTGGCCTGACAGAGACTGGAGAAACCCCGAGAGTATGGCCCCCGGATACCCTTTTAGTTCAGTCACTCCCAAGGTTCACCCTTCAGCCAAAGATTAGACAGCCCCATAAAATAAAACGAGACTAATGGGGCACAACAGCCAAGGGACAAGGACTAGAAGGCAGGAGGGGACAGAAAAACTGGTAATAGGGAACCCAAGGTCAAGAAGGGACACTGTTGACATGTCGTGGGGTTGTTAACCATTGTCATAAAACAATTATGTGTACTGTTTAATGAGAAACTATTTGTTCTGTAAACCTTCATCTAAAGTACAACAAAAAAAGAATGTGTATTCTACCATCACTGGATACTGGGTTTTATACATGCCCACATACACACCAGATCAAGCCTATTAATAGTGTGCTCAAATCTACCCTAACTCATTTTTGTATAAGTCAGTTTCTGAAAGAAAAGTATTAAAATATATCACCATGACTGTGGACATGTCAATTTGTTTAGATCAAGCTCTCAGGAGGTTCAACAAACGCTTGTTGAATGAAAACAACACAGGGCAAATTTTGTTTTCCTTCCTCTGGTCCTTCACATCACTTAATATAGAGCAACATGGATGACAAAGACTTGCGTCTTGGTTGATTTAAGAAATCTTTTCAAGAGCAGAAAATTGTATAATCAATAACACAACACAGACCAAAACCAAACCCATTGCTGTTGAGTCAGCCCTACAGGACATAGTAGAACTGCCCCACAGGGTTTCCAAGGCTGTAAATCTTTATGGAAGCAGACTGCCACATTATTCTCCCTCGGAGTGGCTGGTGGGATTAAACCTCTGACCTTTCAGTTAGCAGCCAAGTGCTTAACCACTTTGCTACCGGGACTCCTTTAACATGACATACTTACTACAAAAGGTGTAGGAACATATCTTGAAAAAAGGTACACAGGAACATCTTTAGCCAGCAAGACTGCAGCAGTGAGTTTAGCAAGCCTTAAAAAAAGAGAGAGATTTTACTTAGTTTTTAAAAATCAACCTTCCACAAAATAAATGCTTCACCTTACGATTATTCTAAATATATATTAGCCTAATACAATCAGTTCTTATAATCACTGGTTATTTAAGCTTCATGCTCCAAGTTAAATAGAATTTTTTAAAAAAGAAGTTTAACAATGAACAGAATTAACAGTTTAATCTCCTCTTTCCCCCTCATTCACTTTTGATGGCTCTTTTACCAAGAAATAAATACCACAACAAGTAAATAAAACCACAATAAATACTTAACACGTGTAATTACCCCAGAAAAACAAAACAAAACAAAAACAAAAAAAGTTACCTGTCAAGTTGACTTGGACTCATGGCAACCCCATGTGTGTCAGAGTAGAACTGTGCTCCACAGGGTTTTCAAAGGCTGATTTTTCAGAAGTAGACTGCCAAGTCTTTCTACCAAGGTGCCTCTGGGTGGACTCAAACTGCCAACCTTCCAGTTAGCAGCTAAGTACGTTAACCATCTGCACCACCCAGGGGCTCCACCTTCTGAAAATAAGACCCTGAAAAAAGGTATCACTGTATCATGATTATCTAGGTATGAATATACCCTAAAACTAATCAAACAGGACTATAAAGAGAGAATATTAGCCACAAAATAATTCCTGCCCAGTGCAGTTTACATTCTAAATGAAAACTCTTTAAATATTTTAAATTTAACTCCTTTCTATAAAAGCTAAAGCTTATCTTTGAAATGCTGCTGATCCTATTTCAGCTCTAAAATAAATGCATTTCTATTTGACAGTCTCCTGTTTCAGAAATTGTACTACTGGGCAAAAATAAAAAATAAATAATTTTTTATTCCAATCCAACAATCTTTGAAACAATTAACACTATACCTCTGGCTGCTGCAGCTGCTAGTTACTTGACCCCGGGTGTCATACCCAACGACAAAGCCTCTCTGCTTGAAGTCTGAGAAACATCTCTCAAGGTATTTGTACATTCCCTGAAGCAGATAAACATAAAAAATGAGCTCCTAACTAATACTTGCATTTCATAAGACTTAAAATCTCTTACTTTCATGTTTGGTGTGTAGCTTTTTGGCTCCCAGGGAACTGGCTTCTGCCTTTATGCTCATGTTTACCAATGTGGGAATGATAGTGTTCAATCCACAAATGCAAGATGACAAATTTATTTATTTCCTGACATTTCGGACACATTTAGTAACATAGAAATCTCAATTAAGTAACCATCTAATCTAATACAATACATAAAACATTTCAAAAAAAGACTTGGCATGAGTCACTACACTAAAAAGATTGTTAGAAGAACCAAAAGAAATTATTTCTTGCCTTCAAGCCTCCAGAGAACAGAATTTTGACCATTTTAGGCCCTTGCTAAATCCTGATTGAAGCTAACCAAAAGATCTAACCTATTCATGATGCAAACATTTTAAAATCAAACAACATATTTCTCTGCTGGAACATTTCTTAATCCCATTTGTAATTCCTTGATTTTAAAATCTCATGGAAAAAGAAATCTCACAAACTAAGAAAATTTGCAGTCAAAGGTGACAAAAAAATGGAATAAAGCATTTAACATCGAAAACATTGCGATAAACTAAAACCATTTAACTATCTGTGGATGATTTCCTAACTTTAATAAATAAACACTTTCATTCTCTAAAAACAACACTTCATATTGTTATAGTCCTTTAAAATTACTTTCATAAATGTTGTCATATTTAATCCTTACAATAATCCTGAAAAGTAAGAAATGCAAGTATTTTTATTTTTGTCTCAGTCTCTCAATACTTCTTCAAAAAACAGGAGTCAGTAGAAGATCAAAGCTCCATTTAGTGACTTGCCCAAGGTTATTCATTCAGTAAAAAATAAGTTATACTGATTATTGAAGACCTACTAGTATATGGCAGACACTAAGTATATGGCAGCACCAAACCAGGCTCCACTGACTTCTGGTCGATGGATGGTCTATCAACTGTAATTATTTTAGCTCTCTTCCCAACCTACTCGCTGGATGTGTGTGTGGGGGGGGTGT